AAACAATTTTCAGTTTGGAAATTTCAGTTTGGAAAATTCAGTTTCAATGATTCAGTCTGCTGAATCATTATCTTGCAATGATAGTACCCAGTGCCTATGGAAGCCTCAGGTGGTAGAATTAGCTCTCATATTAGCCTGTACTGCAAAGTGACCTGAAGTGGTCATAGCTGAGACATGGAGAATCACATTAAACTAAAATCTAAACCTTCAAATGCCAAACCAGGCAAGCTAGGAAGGCAAACAAGGTGAGAGACAAAATTTCAACTTTCCTGTCAGATAACCAGTCATTCAGCACTGGTTCAGCTAAGCCGTCAACATGTCAGCATTTCAAATGTACCTGGCATCTCTCATGACAAATGGGCAGCAGATGCATAAAAGAAAACAAACCAAGGTCTAAATTGAGAGCATTTACCCCCACATTTCAAATAAGACCAGGATAACAAAACTTCTTTTAACTAATTCATCAGTATATGTTAATAATCAACAAACACCCGAGGGACAAGGGACATTGGGGAAAAGCAAGATTAGCCGCGTACTTTCCTCCTGGCTGGCTACCCTAGAACTGTTACTGGGCACTTAGGTTCATGATGATGCTGCCTTAATTTCTTTGCATTTCAGAAGAAATTAAGAAACAAGTTGGTAAGGGAAAATGAATTTATTGATGTTTGGCCAAACTGGGCATGAATTTTAGATTGTCTCCTTTTATGTAGTGGTGGATGCAACAGTACCATGAAACAAAAGCCTAGAACTCTGTACAATGCTAGCTGAACTGTGAGGGAAACTGTGTAAAATCACTTCCTGGTAGAAAAACTTCTCCCCTCTGCCATTGGTATGTCCGTCTATTCTCATCTTCAACATGGGGTTCTGGAACAATTCTAATATTTTAGGGTCTATTGTTTTAGGGTCTCTGTTACATTGTTTCAGTTTCTGTGCTGGTAAATCTTTGTTTTCAAATCTGGGTATGTCTGTGACAGGATTTCTAGAGAGGATTAAGAAAGGAAGGAAGGCCCATGCTGAATGTGGGCAGCACTATCCCATAGGCTGCATGATGGGCAGAGTGAAAGGGGAGGAGGAGAAAGCACACTAACATACACATTCCCTTTCTCTGCTTCCTGGTCACAATGAGGTGAACCACATCAACAGCCTGCACACATCAGAAAGATGCTCGGCGAACCACAGAGCCAGTCATGAGAGACTGAAAAACACCAGAAACCATGAGCCAAAATAAATGGTTTCTGCTTTAACTTGTTTCTTCACCTGTTTCTTCATACTTATGATAAAGCTAATGCAATTTCTTGAAGTCATTATTCAGTCAATTAGTCCTCATCTTCTTATTTCATACTTTCTCCCTCATAATCTGGACTAAGTATGTTCTA